GCACACAATGGAACGGCCAATGGCACCCTACATGTACAAGGTGACGAGTCGGAGGGGGGGGGCCAACGGCAAGGCAGCATGCCGCTTGCCGCCGCTGCTGCTGCCGCTGCTGCTGCCGCTGCTGCTGCCGCTGCAACCGAGCTGGGGTCGGGCGATGAAAGTCGAGTCCGAGGTGGATTTGTTGGGGATGAGGGCCGCCCACCGTGGCGACCGCCGCACCACCCTGAGCATTGGATGCCGACCGCGCGGCGCTGCAGGCCGCCGGCCAGCCGTCGCCCGCCGCTCGTAGACTGCAGCGCCCGTCGCGACGGCTGTGGACGGCAGCAGTTGGCAGCTTCTTTGGGGCATGGCCTCCATAGGCGCGGCAGCTGCCGCTGCGCTGCGCATCAGGGGTTTTGACGCATTGCCCCGCAGGCCAGGTACGAGCCGAGGGGATCAGCCAACGGACGCCTGTGCGGGTGCGCACGCGCGGTTCAACCAGCGGGCGCCCTCTGGGCCCGCGGTGCCGCGCCGGGATCACAAGTAGACGCCTGCGTGCTCCAGCAGGTCTGACCTTCGCTGTCGCAGGCCGCCAGCGGGCGGGCCGGCCCGCAGGCCGTACAGCAACAGCATGCCATCCACCACGGATGCCTCTTCCTGCTGCACCTCCTCCCGCGTGGCAGGCAGCGGCTGGCCCGCAATGAGCGCCGGCATGGCGCCGCCGCTGTGGTGCGGCCACTGAATTGGGACGGCGCCCAGGCCGACGCCGCTGCAGCACATGCCGTTGCGCTGGCGGAGGCCAAGGGTCCGCATGTCCTGCTGGAGCCCGGCCACATCGCGCTGCAGCCCCGCCAGAGTTTGGTGGACCGGCTGCAGCGCCACCTGCACCGCGTTCGCGACAATCGGCCCCAGCTGCTCCTTCACAGACTGCCGCACATCTTGCGCAGCCTGCTGTACCGCCGCCGGCGACGTGTTGCTTCACAGCTTGGGCGGCCACGTGGTCGATGGCGTCACCCAGCTTCTGGCCCACAAGGGCAAAGTCTGCCATCTGCCCGCGCGAGGGCAGGCGGGGCGCCCCGGATGAGGGGGTTGGGGGCATGGAATGATGCAGGGTCAGGATTCAAGCCCTCGACAGCCTCGAATGCTGGGTTGCTTGACAGCTGCCCTATGGGCCGGCCGTGTCACCGCGGGTGCCCAGGGGACTGCCTCCCGGCAGTGCCGTGCAGCCTGCCCACCAAAGGCAACAAATACCAGTCGTTTGCGTCGCCCCATCACATCGCGCGCATCATGCGCTTGCGCTGCGTCATGGCGCCCTCCGCGGGCGCGGGCCGCTCCCATGCCTGCCAATACAGTAGCCTCCCCCAAACACTGCACCCACCACAGCAGAGGGGCCTAGCGGCGCGCCTGAGGACAGCAAAAACCCTGTATAGTAATGAATATACTGAAGCTGCAGCCCAAGGGCAGCCGTCGATTGAGGCGGGGGTCCAGATGGATAGATGACTACCGGTTACGTTCAAGGCAAAATTGCGGGGAACAGCGCTTCAAGTGGCAATGTTGTTCACCGGTATACCGTGCGATAGTGAAAGGTGGCTGCGTGAGGCAGTGATCTTGAGATGGCTACCGCGCAGGTGGGCTGTCAACAGTTGCAACATGGAGCTTATGTACGCATGTGTGTTGCAACATTGACAGGAGGGTAGCGATGGAGTCCAAGCCGCTACGTGCGCATCTGCTGCTCGCATGGCATGGCGCCTGTCGCCATGTTCGAAGCCCCCCTTCAGAATCCCCCTCCTCACAATCCCAAAAGTAGTGACTGCAGTGGCAACTTTGGGCGGCAGGTCAGGCTAAGCGGGGGGCCCCAGGCCCCAGCATTTATGCCTGGACCGTGAGCGTGTGTTTGACCAGCACCAGGCACTGCCGTATTGGCGCAGGCACCAATGTCACTACGCAGCCGCCAGCACCAGGTGGAGTGCGTCAAGAAACAGCAGCGCACTGACGCTCTATCATTGCCGTCTTGCGTCCCGTGTCCAAAGCGCCCGCTTCCTACGCCACCTGCTGGCGACCCGATTCACCGACGGCGAAAATCCCGCCGGCTCCCTGGACAACACTCGCAAGGTGGCAACGAAGGGGGCTGGGGTGGCGGCTGGCAGCCAAACACGCCCCTGCTTTTGTGCAAGGCGCTCTAGCTCGCTCCATGCCTGTTTGGCGTTGCAGTGGTCCCTGATTTTGGTGATCACTTCCCCTTGGCCAACCCAACCATCAGTGGCTGGGGCACGTGCACAGCGTGCAGCGAGGCACCCCCGACCCCTCCACCTTCACCCAGCAGTCGCTGATCGCAGCAATTTCTGCAGAGGTGCACAAGCGGCACACATACGTGCGGTGAGTGGCCAGCCGACCGCTGACAAGTTTGACAGTCCAAAGGAACGACGCCGGCTTGCCGCCGCCCAACCAGGTCTGAGAGGGATCCGTCGGGGCTTGGTGGGGGCAATTTCATTCTTGCCTCCGCCCAGTAGCACGACCTCAGCTGACTGCGGCCAGGGTCGCTTGCCTGGACTAGCTGCCGCTGACGGTTTTGATGGTTTGACGGCCAACGGAAGGCGCCAACGAACATGCTCCCGGCCCCTCCCCATCCACAACCTCCGCGGCGCTCCTCTCCGCCGTCTTCCGCCACGTTGCAGGGCAGAGGTGGACCTGATGAAGGCGGCGGGGGGCGCGCCTGCCGAGCTTTTACTGTTCATCGACACTCCGCGCACAGCGGACACGGTCCTGGGCCACAAGGCCGCTGCTTTCGGCTCTGCAGGCAGCATCGCCGCTGAGGGCTTGTGCGCGGACAACTTGTGCGGCCTGCGCTAGGGCAACCAGCTGGTGCAGGAGACGGCGACGCCGGCGGAGCCTGCACCGTGGAGGCCTGCTGCCTGGCCAACGGCGAGGGCAAGGTGTGTGGAGGGGGGGACTGTCAAGCTGCATGCACACATATTGTGATGGTGCAAATGATGACGCTTTGTACGCTTTTACGGCGCCAAAGGCGCGCGCCTTTGGCTGTCCAAAGCAGCCTTTTATTTTTGGGACGGAGAGGAGGGGCAGCGGGCGGCGGCGGGCCCAGGGGGTGGAGAGGGCCCCAGCCCTTCCTCTTGGAGGAACGAAGGGGGCCTGCCGTGTTACTTTCATTCTGTTGACACAAAAGCTTCGATACTCTCTGTGTCGTTGTCTGTGCCTAACCACATGAAACCGGGCCCCCCTACCTCAGGCAACAGACAACAGGCTGTTGTACCCACTGCAGACCAATAATTCAGGCAACCTGTTGTGGGGCAGCTGTGTGTGCCACATTGACCCCATCATCTGCGCAGGTGGGGCGCCATGATGGGCAGGCGAGGCACTGTTGCAGTGCGGCACTTGATGGGTGGGCCGGCCCTTGCATGCTGTATGCCGCGCTGTAGCCGGTGCCCAGCATCACCCAGGCAGGCGCGTGGGCGCGGAGGGCGGACAGCCGCCATGCTTGAAGGGCGCTTGCGCCCGCCCCACATGCGCCGGCGCGCCGCCCCGCGGCGCGGCGGTGCCCAGCATCACCCAGGCAGGCGCGTGGGCGCGGAGGGCGGACGGCCGCCACGCTTGAAGGGCGCTTGCGCCCGCCCGACATGCGCCGGCACGCCGCCCCGCGGCGCGCCGGTGCCCAGCATCACCCAGGCATGCGCGTTGGCGCCGAGGGCGGACAGCCGCCAAGCTCAAATATGCTGCGCCGCGTTTTGCACCCTTGTTTGTGAACCTGCCTGCACATGACCGCATGCACGCCCGTTTGTGTAGCGCAGACTTGCACACTTGTGGGGCCTTTGTGCACACCTGCTATGAACGGCGAACGCTGGCCACTTGAGTCCCAGCCACACAACGCTGATGCTACAATGCTACCTCCCATGAGCCTGGATGGCTCCAGGAGCGGGCGACCGCGGGATCGTGTAACAATCCTAATCCTAATCCTGTAGCTGTCGCTTGCCCACGTGCCACGCTCACACACAGTCGCACACAGCATTGAGGTGCTGCCCTTCATTTCTCGTCTTGGAACCCCCTGCAGGCGGCTGCTTTGCCGGAGCCGCTGGGGTGGAGCTGTCCCTCAGCGGCTTCGAGTGATCCTGAAGGCCGACCCGCGCTGGCTCAATATCCCGCCTGCTGTACCCTCGCGGGCACTGGAGCGGCAGATGTACCACTCACACGCCTAGGCTATAAGCAGGTACCCAGGGGGCGGCTGTCGCGCACGTTACTTGCACACTGTGCAAGTACGGCACGCCTGAATGCCCCCCTGCCGACTCAGCGTGCTCCACCTCCCAGCCCACCTTGCCTTTGTTGGCCTCCCACCCATCAAACCCTCGCACAGTGTGCATCCATTTAGAAGCAGGACACCCGCCGATTCAGGCGCTCCACTGGCCTCCGCATGCTGGCGTCAGTGGGAGCCAGCCTCCCTCCCTCGCCCGCTTCTGTTTCGCCAACTCGCTGCGCAAGGGGCCGTTGGCTCCAGGCGGTGGGCCCCTCGGCAACGAGCTACGGGGTCAGGCTTTCACCCACACACCAGCGGTTGCTGGCCATACATGCTGTAATCGTATGTGCAAGACAGCACCCTATAATAAAATCACCTTGCCTGGATCATTGCAAGACCCCCACTGCCCCCACATTGCCAGAGCGCAGCGAGCAGCCGGGCCAGGGTTGCGGCCGAACTGGTAAGGGCGCCGAGGGTCGGCAAGACTCTTGGGTGCAGGTGACCGCAGATATTGATCACTAGAACAGGCAGCACCCCAAAACTAAGCGTGCCCTATGTGGGCAAATGCAATTGGTCCAATGTTTGGGAAGCTGCTGGTCTTGGCACTGCAGTGAAGCTGCAGGCAGTCATCTTTTCGATCTCTCAGAGCGCCCCTCATACGGTGCCAACAAGTTGCAAGGCAAGCACAAAAATCGTTCCAGCGCGTTGCTAGGGCGTCCCTGGCAAACGCGTTCGCGTCCTGGCTGTGATCTGGCGGGATGGTCACCAGGTAGCATCTATGATCGAGACAGTACAGGCTCTGACCGAGGCGGACGCATGGGCTCTAGCGTTGCACCTCATTGGCAGCGTGCGCCCCATCGCAGCGGCTCGCGAACCCCACTCCGCCTGGGACAGCGCCGGCGATTCGGTTGTGCATGTGCGGCTCCAGGCGCGGCCTGACGCCAGCAAGCTTGCCGAGCTGCGCGGTTGGTCAGCCTGCACAGAGCACTTGTGGCCCGCCGCCGGGCAGGGCCTAGGTAGCGCGCCGCTGGATGTCGACCTGTGGTTACGTGTGCAGACAGGTGTGCAGCGGCAGGGCACGCAGTCTGGCCCCCACGGCAGCAGCGAATGGGGCCTCCTCAACTGCCGCAGCGGCCCAAACCCAGATGGCTGGGCCTACGCGTCGCGGCGCTTCAGCCTGTGCCCACTCTGCACAGCAGCGGCGCTGATCTGCTCCTCTGACCCCGCGGCGCGCGCGATGGTGGAGGCCGCTGCTGTGGGGGACGGGGCGCGCGACGGCGGGCCCACGGCAGCGGCGCGGGCTCGGCCGTCTGAGTGGGGCCGAGGCGCAGTCGGGGGCAGCAGCGGCAGTGGCGATGGCGACGTTCTGTCTGCCGCCTGCTGGCTGCCGTCCCCTGCCGCGCAGCGCCTAGGAGTCACCCTCCATCTTATCCCCACCGAGCGCCGCGGCTGCCCTGGGCGCGGCGGCTGCCTGCCTTCCGCTGCGGACCTCGTCGCCGACGCTGACGCCACTACAGCGGTAGATGACGGGGGGGATGGCGAGGGCGCCCCGCCGCGCGCAACGAGCGGCGGCGACAGCGGCGTGTTTGACGGCAGTGGCAGCAGTGACGACTATGAAAATGACAGCAGCAGCGGCAGCGGCAGCAGCAGTGTTGGCGCGAGCCAATCCTCACAACCCTCATCCGGTAACAGCAGCCAGGAATATGACGCAGATGACTTGGATCCAAGAGATTGGTGGGTCCACGCGTTGGGCGAGCCGCGGCCGAGTCAACGCGCGAGCACAGCCGGCAGGCAGCAGCGTGCGCCTGCCGGGCAGCTGGCAGAACGGCACTCGGCGGTCAGGGGCGCCGGCGCGTCGCCGTCCACCCACGGCGCGCGCGACTGGCGGGGCAGCGACGCGGCGGGCGAGGAGGTGCTGTGCAGTTTGGAGGAGCACTGGGCAGAGCTCGTGGCTGAACGGGCTCGCGCGAGAGCCGCGGCCGACCTCCAGGCCGGGCGCCAGCCGCGGCCGCCGCGGCGGTCTGGCTGGGGCGCGCGCCCGCGGTTGCTGCTGGAACTGCAGCGGCGCCCGCTGCGGCCGCGCGGGCCGGCGGGCGGCGGGGGTACGGTTGCCGCGCCGCACGGCTGCTTGCTGTGGGCCGCGCTCGGGCTCACAGCAAATGTGCAGCATGGGAAGGTACGGGGCAAAGCGTGGTTGTTTGTTTGTGGAGATTATGTGCCGCTTGTGCTGGGAACAACCACGCAGATGCAGAAAACGCCTCTTTGACTTGATTACGTGGTTGAGCAGTTACTGGCGCGCGCTGCTGAGTACCACTAGTATGCACCCCCTTCTCCACCAACCCCCGTCTCCACCAACCCCTGTCCCACGTCCTCAGCCACCCCCGTCCTTGCTCCCCCCGAAAATAATTCCCCACAGGCGCGCGCAGGCCTTGCCCGCGCGGCCGCGGAGCTTGCGGCCGGCCGCCCGGTGGCAGCTGCCGCCGAGCTGCTGCACCGCCTGTCAGCAGCGCTGAGCGCCGACCCCGCTGCCAGGCGCCGCACGGGCCGCCGAGCCGGCGGCGCCTGCGGTGGCGGCGGCGGCGGGTGCGATGCGCCCGACCTCGCCCGCGGCCTGGCGGCGCTGTTGCTGGTGGCGCGCCTGCCGCCGCCGGCGCGGCGGGCGCTCGCGCGGGTCGCGGGCGTGCTGGCCAGGTCGCCGCTGCCGGGGCTCGGGCCGGAGGGCGTTCTGGCGCTGGAGGCGCAGCTGCAGCTTGTGGTGGGTGCGGGCGCGTGCGTGTTTACGGCAGCGGGCGCACGCGTGGGTTGTTGCGTGGCCGCATGCCTGCCTGGGTCCCAGTGGAGTATGTCGAGGTGGGGTGGCCCCGTGGTGGGTGGGTTTGTGGGGCTGGCATTGTTGAGCTCGTTATTTTTTGGGGTGTAAATGGGGGCGTGCGAGTCGCAAGCAGAGACGCATCAGGGCAAAAGCCCAGGCTCGGCTCGCGCAGGAGTGCGGCGGCCGCGAGTGTCGCCTTTCACGTGCGTGCGCGCACTTCTGTGCATGTCGCAGCATCGTCCACCATCAAACGGCTGTCTGCCGTGCCGGCATCCCCGTCTGCGGATGCCTCGTGCCCCCATCCTAGGCGCTGGCTGCGCTACACTCGTGGGACGCTCCGCCCCTTGCGGCCGCCCTGGCGTCAGAGCGACTCAGTCATCCCGACAGCTTGCAGCCGCTGGCCTCGGCGTCTGGCGGCGGCTTGGGCGGCGAGGCGGCGGCCTACTGGCAAGGCAGGGAGCCGGCGGCCATGACCAACCTGCGGCTGTCGTTTCTGCGCTTTGAATTGGCCTTTCAGGATGACGCGGAGAGCGCGAGCAGCCACGGCGGCGACGGCGGCAGCGGCGGCGAGGGCGGAGGCTCGGAAGGGATTCGGCAGCTCGTGTCGGCCCTCGGCCGCGCGACCGGCAGTCTGGCCGAGGCGGCGGTCTGCCTTCTCAAGGACGGCGCCCCGGCGTCCGCGCGCGCGGCGGCCGCGCTCCTGCCCGCCGTCGCGGCGGCGGCGGCCGGCGCCGAGAGGGAGGGCGCGCGGGGCTTGCTGCTGGCGCTGCTGCGCGCGGCGCTGCTTGATCCTGCAGTCCCCGCCGCCGCCAGCCTGCAGCTCGCTCTCGACCTGTGCCCGGCCGCGGCGGGCCCCTGGGCGTGCGCCCCGGGGTGGCCGCCCGCGCTCGCGCACTGCGCCAGCGGCGACGCTGCGGCAGGCACGGCAGAGTTCGAGCTGCCGGCGTGGCTGCTGCCGGCGGGGCGCCGGCTGGCTGCGCAGGGGTTGGTTCCGATGGCGTATCACACCTTGCACGCAGCAATCGACGCGGCACAGAGGGCAGAGCTGCGGGAGGACGCCGCAGGCGGCGACGGCCCTGGCGCGACGGCGCCCCTGGCAGCGCTGGCGGTGGACGCGCTCTTCGCGCCGGCCTGGGAGCGGCTGGGACGCGACGCCGCCGCATGCGCGGCCGCCGGCGCCGGGCGCGCGGCGCCTTGGGCGCCCACGGCGCAAGAAAGCCGGCGCGCAGCAATGTCTGACTTGCGCGCCGCGCACGGGCAGCCCCATTGGACGCTGCTGCAGCTGTGGAGCGGCGCCGCTGTAGAGGCATCGAAGGTGGCGGCCACATTGGGCGGCGCGGCGCTGCCGGGCGCCCTGATCGCGCGCGCGCCGGTGGCGGCGGCGGCCGTCGCGGCGGGGGCGCTGCACGTCATTCTGCATGATGGCTGGCGTGAGTCGTCATTGTTGGGTGGAGCAATTGTCAATGTTGACCTTTTTTGCAGCCACCTGCGCTTGCAGCATGCTGCCAAAAGGGGTACCGACGTGCGCGGCAGTTGCAAAACAAGGCTCGTGGGTCCAACGCACGTCTGGGCCACCCCTGGGCCTCCTGCCCCTCGTCTTCCACAAGACCGCTCCACAGCCCGCGCTTGCCATTGTTCTGCTGCAACCACACTGCTCTGCTTCACTCAACCCCTTTGTTTGGGCAGGTGGCTTTGACTCGGAGTCAACCGCTGCTCCTCTATCTACAGCCCTTGCCCACGCCGCTATGGCGCGCCTGGCCGCCGCCGGCCACACGCCCACCGCCGCGGGCCTGGCCCGCGCACTGCTGCAGCTCCCCAGCTGCGACGGCCGCTGGGTGGCTCTTCCCCCTGGGGGCGCGTGGTGGCGGTGGGCACCGGCGTGGTGCGGCGCGGAGTGGCTGCTGCACTTGACGGCGCGCGACGAGGCTGATGTTGCGCTGGTGACGCGGGCGCTGATGGGCAGCCTACAAGGCAGCTGGGTGCGCCGCACACAGGGCAACGCGCCGCCGCCGCGCCGCGAGCGCGTCGGCGTGGCGGCCGAACGGGGCGGCGCGCAGCAGCGGGAGCGGGCGGCGCCTCCGCTCGGCGGCGAGGGGGCGCAGCCGGCGGCAGTGCTCAGAGCCTCAGCGGCCTCTGCGGCTGTGGCGGCGGCGGCGGCGGCTGCAGATGCGGGCTGCAGCACCGGCAGCAGGGCATCTGCCCATACAGATCCAGCAGAGCATGCGAACGCAGCCGGGCCCCTTGCGTCCCTGATGGCGGAATTGGTCAAGGGGCACAGCGACAGCCAGGGTGCGCCGCAGGGCCAGCAGCAGCTCGGCGGCCTAGGGGCCGCGCTCGCAGACCTGGCCAGGGCCGTGCGCTGGCGCCGCGCCCGCGAGGGCGACGCCGCCGGCGGCTGCCGCGTCGGGGCGGCGCTCGCGGCGCTGGCTTGGTGCGCGGCGGCGGGGGAGCAGCGGGGGTGGGGCGACGGGTGGCGCGACGCGGGCGGCGCCATGTCAGTCAAGACAGTGAGGGTGCTAGAGGGCGGCGCGGGCGCGTCTACCGCCGGCCCAAGGTCCGGCCAGTGGATGCAGTCGCAGCCCTCTCGCGAGGCGGCGTGGCGGTCGTGCGTCCTTGAATCGCAGCCCTGGGAGCCGCTGAGCCATCGTGAGTTTTGACGATGGGGGTCGCGGCGCCCAGCTGCGAGGCCCGCAGGCGTGCAGCCCTTGTGCTTTGCGTCTCACTGCAGGAAACCCTGCGCCGCATCAATGCGCATGACCGCGCTGAGAGCGAGCGCGCCGCCAGCCCGTTCCCTGGCATGCTCGGTTTTTAACGGCCTTCTCTCTTGTGCCCGCCTCCGATTCCCATGCTCCAGGGCCCCCACCAGCCATATCCCTCTCCAGGGAAGAGCTGCTAGGGTCGGGCCCAAACGACTGCGCCGCCTGCGCCGCCCACCATGCCCCGGCCTTCCGGCTTCACAGCTTTGCCGCCGGCGAGCACGGCCGCCCCACCGAGCCGCAGCTCAGTGCGGCCGTATCGCGCCTGATGCATGCCGTGAGCGCCGACGTGGCGCGCGCGGCGGCGGTGGGCGACGGCGACCCGGATGCAGACGGCAGGGCGCCTGGCGAGCACAGCCCCCTCGCCTGGCGCGCGGCTGCTGCAGACTTCGAGCTCGGCGGCCGCGCGCCCGCCGCAGCCGGGGATCTCTACCCGCTGACCGAGCAGGGTTGGGATCCTTATGTTGTGCTCTGGAGCCTTTACGCCGACCCAGGCGCCCGGCCGGCCGCCCATGCGAGGGCGACGCGGCGCCCCGAGCTGATGCTCCGGCTCTGCCTTGAGTGCCTGGCCGCGGCGCCGAGCGCGGCCGCGCGCCGCCCGCTGCTGCGGGCCCTGGCATTCGCCGCGGCGCGCGCCGCGCCGAGCATCGCGCTGCTGCCGCTGGCGGCGGCGTGCGCGCGGGAGGGGCTGGGGCAGGAGGCGCGGGCGGTGGCGCGGCAGGCGCTGCTGCCGCACAGCCTGCGGTCGTGCCTGGCGGCGAGCACGCACGCCTACTACGCGCGTGTGTTTGGCAGCGGCTGGCTGGGCTCGATGCAAGAGCTCCTAGCCTTTCTGTCAGCGCCGCAGGAGGGCACAGCGGCACGTGAGTCTCCTTGCATGGCTCCACCGCGGGCAGGGCTGCTTGATCCGTACCGTGCGAAGTGAGGCGAGTCAAGGCGGCTTGGCCTGCGCATGCGGTGCAGCACAGCCGGCATCCCCACGATCAAGCCTCATGCCACGCCACTGCAACCTGCCCTTTGCATCCACTCCCGCGGCCATCCCCGCGCTCCACCCCAGGCGAGGACGAAGACGCCCTGCTGGCGGACTGCGTCGCCACGTCCCTGCTGCTGGACTGCCGCGCACCAGCCGACCCCGGGCTGCCGCCGCAGGAGCTCCGCTGGGTGGACACCCTGCCCGGCAGGGCTTGCGCCACCGCTGCCCGCCGCCGCCCGCCGCCGGGCGCCGCGATTGCGCGGCCCGCGGTGCTGGGGTGGGTGCTGCACGTGCTGCAGCTGCTGTACTCGCGGTGGGCAGCACGCCCTTTTGGACCCCCCGTGTGTGACTCGCTCATCGGCTTTGCCACGGCGTTTGACGGCGTTGGGCCGGCGGCGGCAGCGCGCGGCAGCGGCGGAGGGGGGCGTCTGGCGTGGGATGTTTGGCTGCACACGACGCTGGCGGGGTGCGTGCTGCTGCCTCTGGCAGGGCACCTGGCGACGCAAAGGTCAGGGCAGGCCGACGCTTCCGGTGCACCAGGGCTCCTGCCGCCGCCGCCGCCGCCGCAGCAGCAGCAGCAGCGTGAGGGTTGTCAGCCACAAGAGCAGACACGCAGGACGCGTCCCTTAAATGCAGTCGAGCGACCAGACGGCGGCCAGCATGACAGCGCTGCGCTGCTGCAGGCAGCTCTGCGCCGCATGCCGGCAGCAACAAGGGCCTGCCATGGGTGGGGGCTGTACGTCACGCGCACGTGAGCGGGGGCCAGCAGAGGTGGCCGGCTCCTGCAGGGGTGCGACAAGCTGCCTTTGTGTTGCTGCAGAGGATATCGCGCTGCAGCTGGGCTTTCCCTGCCTGGCCAAGCAAAGCGTTGAAACGGCACCTGGCCCTTACAGTACTCGTACAACCTCTGCACCTTTTGCACCTTGGAACGCAGCGCTTTCGACGCCGGCCTGTTGGGCTGGCGTGGCCTGGTCGCCCTCGCCGAGCCTGCCCTCGACGCCGAGCTCGCCACGGGCCAGACGGCCTGGGTGGCAGAGATGGCAGAGTGGACGGCGCGCCGCCTGAACGCGGCCGCCGGCCGCCCAGCGGGCGGCAACGTGCTTGGCACCGGCGGCGTCGTGAGGGGCGCGGGGCTGCGGGGCGCCACGGCGCTCTACGACACACCGCTGCCGGATGAGGGCGACGGCAGCGGCGACAGTGGCAGTGGCGATGGTGAAGGCGGTGATGGTGTTGGTGTTGCAGAGGCAGAGGGGTTGCCTGTCGTAGATGATTGGGGGGCGGGACGTGGAGGTCTGCACTTCGGAGCGGTCAGGCAGGGGTTGGAGGAGTGGCGGCGGGCGATGCGACGAGGGGCTGGCGTGCGACCCGAGGCGGCTGCAATGGGCAATGGTACCGACAGCAGCAGCAGTGGGAGCAGCAGGACGAGCAGCGGCGGCGGCGACGAAGACAGCAGCGAGAGCAGCGAAAGCGACAGCGAGGCTGGCGGGGACAGCAGCAGCAGCGGCGGCCAGGTGCGGGAGCGCGCCTTTGGTCAGGGCAGGCCGATTGATCTAGGAAGCAGTGACACCAGTGAGAGTGAGGACATCAGCAACGGCAGCAGCGGCGACAGCGGCACAAGCAGCGGGAGCAGTGAGTCTGAGAGCGAGCAGCTCGTCAGCTCAAGCGATCAGGATGAGGCAGCCGTCAAATGTGGCCGGGGAGCCTGGCCGCAGCGCCCGCCGGCACCAGGCACCCTCGACCTTCAAGCCTTGCTGCAGGTGGGAAGCGCCGGCTCTGAGCATTTGGCCGTGTGCTTGCGGGCTGACGCACAGGGCTAGCAAATGTTGTGTTGCCCCCATACTTCGCCCATACTGCCACTTTGAGACAACATGCTCCGGTGAGGAAACATCTAAACTGCAGCCATTTTACAGGCACAGAAAGAAACCGTTCACATCTCCCCTCTTTGCCCCTCATGCCTGTGCTTGTGCTCAAGCAGCTGCGGACCCACCTGGCAGGCGCATGCTCGCTGCCGCACCTGTCACGCGACGTGAGGCGTGCAGGCAAAATAACGCACAGAGCGGCACTGGTGAGGACGCGGCAGACGCGCAGCAGTGCGCAGCCAGGCGCCACTACCGCGCTGCTGGCAGCCTTTGAGCGCCTCGACGCGGCGCTGGCGGCCTGGGGGATGGTCGTGCCGCCGCTGGCTGCCGCAGAGGAGGGTCCTGATGAGCAGGCAGCGCCCAAGCGCAGGCGCCTGCGGCGGGCGGATGGAGCGGCGACGGGGCAGCCAATGGCAGGAGCAGAAGTGAGCAAGCAGTGCACTCTGGCTGGCAAGAAAAAGAATCGTGGCAGCGCAAGTGGCGCGGCGCAAGCAGCTGCGCTGCACCTGGTAGCGGCGGGCCGGCGTGCTGCTGGTGGTGGTGTGGCAGGCGTCGCGGCGCGCAGGCTGCTCTCTGGTGCTGGCAAAAGAGGGGTGGCAAAACGCAGCAACCGCAGGGGCTGAGGCGTGCGTGTTGGTGTTGATGGGTAGTTGACACAAGACAGGCAAACCGAGGGTAAGCGGTGGTTGGTACGAAGCAAAACTGACGGAGATGAGGCTCGAACTCACGACCTCGGCGTTATCAGCACCGCGCTCTAACCAACTGAGCTACACCGTCTCCCGCATGCAACCCGCCACTCAGACAGCGCTTCAGGACCTTGACAGGGTCTATTTTCAGGGTTTAGTGGACGCCGACGGCGGCGACGGCAGCGGCGGCGACGACGACGGCGGCGACAACAACGGCAGCGACGGCAGCGGCGGCGG